TCAGGGATAGAGCGAACATATTTAGTAGAATGGATATGAGTTTGTGACCGTCATTGTGATATCATTTCTGACCTTAGTCCTCTGGTTTGTGTCTACATCAGATAATAATAATAATAAAGCACATTTATTAAAATATTGTGTTAGCCCAAAATGCAGATTCTGTGATAAATATCCAGAAACAATTGATCATCTTGTATCAGGTTGCATGTTATTGGCACCCACTGAGTATAAAACCCGGCATGACAGAGTGGGCCAATATCTGCACTGGAAAAATTGCAAAGGAACCTGAAAGAAACTGGTATGAACACCACCCAGACCCGGTTACGGAGATAGGTCCTGTTACAATTCTATGGGACTACACAATACACACTGACAGAACAATCAATGCCAACCGGCCAGACATTGTTATTAAAGACCACAAACAAAAAACGTGCCTCCTTATTGATATGGCAGTCCCTGCTGACTGCAATGTATCTTTGAAGATATTCAAGAAGCTTCCGAAATACAAGGACCTTGAAAGAGAAATCTCAAAAATGTGGCACATGGGAACATCAACAATCCCTGTCGTAGTTGGAGCCCTAGGATTGGTTGGAAAAGATTGCAGTAGACTAATTGAAGGGATTCCTGGAAGTCCATGCCTCAAAGAAATACCGAGAATTGTTCTCACAAGTACAGCCCACACTTTACCTAGGGCTTTATCTATGTAAAATATTTTTATTTTGTTATTTTATTTTATTTATTTATTTATTTTTTTTGTCAGTGGAGAGTGTCATAATGCCATTTCTAAGTTGAGGTCTCTGGGCGGGACCCGGAAAGAAATGTGTAAACGCCAGAAATCAAAGGAAATAATAATAATAATGATAATAATAATACAGGATGTCAGAAGGCCTGATTATTGCAGCTGAGGACCAAAGCCTTGCAACCAGATCCTATCATTGTCACTTAATCAAAGATAGAACTAGCCCCAAATGCAGAATCTGTGGTAAATATGATAAAACTATCGACCATATTATCTTAGGATGTTCGGAACTGGCAAAAAAATGAATATACCCACAGACATAATGAAGTAGGGACATATGTGCACTGGAAGATATGCAAGAAGCACAAAATCGAAAACACTGAGAGGTGTTATGAGCACTAACTAGACACAATTATCGAAAATAAAGATGTAACTATCCTCTGAGACATGCCAATTCAAACTGACAGCCAACAAACCTGATATTATCATAAAAGACAAGAATTGCAGGAAGTTTATGCTTATTGACATAGCAGTGCTATCTGAGAGAAACATCTCCATAAAAATTATGGAGAAATTGTCCAAATACAAGGACCTAGAGATTGAGATTACAGGATATGGAGAATCAAGATTGAATATATCAAAAGTAATCGAAACTCTGGGATTCGTGAGAAAAAGAATGGACATTTTTACTAAATATCCTAGGTAACATCAACATAAACTTGCCCAGAAGATCGCCCTACTTAGAACATCCCATCTACTGAAAAAAGTGCTATCAATTAAATGACAATTTTCCTAGAGGGCCTAAGGACCATAGTTTGGACCCGGCTCTGCAAAACATAAAGCAGGAAATATGACATGCACAAATAATAATAATAATAATAATAATAATAATAATAACAACAACAACTTTGCCTCGTCTTGAAGGTAGAAAAGGAGATAGGCCGAAAAGTGGACAAAAGAAAATTAAATAACCAGTAAAACATTTGTAGAATTGAGTATGTTTCAAGATGAACTGAATAATCTTGTCTACAAAACTTTGTAACATTTCGAATGAAAGAAAAAAAAAACAGGTTAGTAATAAATAAATCAATCAAATTCCTGACAGTGAGTTACTTTTTTTTTTCTCTTCAGACCTCAAATCCCCGTCTTTCCTCCCCTTTTCTCCCCATCTATCTGCCTACATTATGGCACCGAAACCTTTCATATGTTAACATGGCAATCAATATAAAGCGATCTGATGAATCACTGATTTTTATAGAGTAAGAGATCACGAGTGATTGCGCATGCGTATTTTGTGCAAATTTTGATAGCAGGAATGAATGCTAGTTTTACTTTTGATTTTTGACGTTACGGTTTTTGTATTTCGATTTGTAGACACATTTCCAAGAAAATAGAATTTTTCTTTTTTTTTATTTCTCTTCTTTTTTTTTTCTTAATCGCATTTGTCAATAGATTTGTCTTATTCTTTACGTCTTTTTTTTATTTATGATAATTATAAATTTGTTTTTCTTCATTTATTTGTCTTTCCAGATTACATTGCAACAACCCATTAACTGCGGATGACGGGAAATTCACTCATGACTACTTGATGGTTAAACTGAAAATGAAGGAAACTTCCTCATGTCAAACAAATATACGAGGAGGAGCGGAAAAATACCCTACCATACCAAGAAGAACTTCTCTCTGATTTCTCTGTCATTTTCATTAGGCATTGCCCCACCCAAGCAAGGCAATGAAGCAACTAAAACGCAAGGGGTTACTGGATATTAGAGAATACGAGGAAAAATAATGCTGTAAAGGAGAGAGAACAATAAAAAGAACACAAATTAATAACAAAAGATTTACATTTTTGAAGATCAAAGTTAAATGGAGAGCAAGAAGCCGGAAGAGAGTTCCATAAGGAAGAACTGCATGAGAAGAATATGTAAGCATAAAACTTACGGTTGCACCTAGACATTTAAATTGTACAATGATGAGACCTTGTCACCAATCTAATACTTAAATTCTTAAAGACGTATCTACTCTGTTATTGGTCCTGGTCTGGCATCTCGGCTTTAATCTCTTTCTCACCGACGTAACGTAGCTTCTCTGCGTCTTTTCTCTAAATAGTTTTCATGGTAATTGTTCTGATGAACTTTTCTCTGTGGTATCTAGACTTTATGAATTTAACCGCAGTACGAGATTGGCGGCAAAGTCTCATCTTTCAATTGAAATGTCTAGATGCAACCGTAAGTTCTATGCTAACAGTTTCTTCTATTGCACTTCTCACTTAAAGAAATATCTCCCGGCTTCTTGCTTCGCAGTAAACTTTAGTCTTCAAAACATTAAATGCAATGCCGATCGTTATCTTCTGTCGTCTTAATTCTTATACTTGTATTATCCTCCCCGCTTAGTAGTGCTTCCCATCTTCTCTAACACTATGTAAACTCATATGGATTAGTGCCTTTATTGCTTTTCTTAGAGCGAAAGGATCTATCTATCTATCTATCTATCTATCTATCTATCTATCTATGATTCTAAAAAAAAACAGTTTACTGGTTATTTCATTTTCTTTTCTCCTTCGTTCGACCTTTAAATTGAGGAAATAGTGATCAGATACAAATAGAGCAGAATAAAATAAAGGCATTTTCTAACTGATTGTAACGGTTTAG